TTACTCATAAAAATTGTGAATGAGTTCACTGTTACTGCATTGTCCATATTTATGATCAATAATTGAAAGCTAACTGAAAGCTATATTTGATTGTCTATTTTTTACGCCGTAACAATTTATCCATTAATTTCATTTCTTATTGGAATTCATTGTGCATATAATTTTTTTGTAATCGTAGATAATGGCTTCATCATCGTCGTCCCAGCCTCAGAGATACGGTGTACACCCTGGACCGAGGGATCCCAAATTTCTATATCTTCATTACAAACACCGGGCATGGGCGGTTTATAATAATCAACCGGGAGCTCGTAGCGACACGGTTTCAAACCGTCGCTACGACTTACAGTTCTGGAAGGCTTTGCCAAAGCAGCATCCGTCGGTTTGGGAGGTGATCGATCGCACTGGTTTCGGGCCCTTGTTTCGAATGGGCCAAGTCCAAACCGACAACGCCGTCATTACCGGTCTGCTCGAAAGGTGGCGTCCGGAAACGCACACCTTTCATTTCGATTTCGGGGAGGCGACTATCACTCTGCAGGATGTACAAGTCCTATTCGGTCTACCGGTCGATGGAGCTGCTTGTTTAGGAGTGACGGTAGACCTAACACCGGTACAATGGCGTGATAGGTGCAAGAACTTGTTAGGGTTTCGACCCGATGTCCAGGTATATTTTTTCCTATTTTTTTTTAAATGCATGTCCACTCATTTATATCGTTTTTAATATATATAAAAACCACTGTCAGGATCCCCCCAGCACTCCGGAAGAGGAAGCGGCTTACAAGCCCGCTGGTTGGGCCATTAAAGGCCAGTTTATGAAGATTTCGGGATTAGAAAAGGAATGCATCAAAGGTCTGCGAGATGGACTTCCGGCCATACGCTACGAGCAAAGGGCGAGGGCCCTTATCCTGTGGTGCCTCGGCTCCTTTTTCTTCCCCGACCAGCGGGGAAATGGCGTGAATCTTTATTGGCTGCAGCTGCTGGAGGACATAGACGGAATTAAGGGCTACAGCTGGGGTTCAGCGCTCCTAGCAGCTGTATATAGAGCGTTGTGCACTGCCTACGAGGCTGGAGCGCAATGGATCAAGAGCTGTGTGCAATTGATCCAGGTAAGTTTATTTTTCTTCTACTTTGAAATTCATTATTTTTTATTATAATTGAGACTAATATTTAGTAACAAATGCATACGTCCATATGTCTAGGTTTGGGCGTGGGAGCGTATCCCACGCATTCGCCCAACAATGAAGTCCAGACAGTTTGATTTGATAGGTGGTTGTCCCTTGGGTGCCAGATAATAAGATTTATTTATATTTAATACGTAGATTATTTCCATTATCCAAAATTGTGATTACAAACTTTTTTTTTTGTCATTTTTAAGGTGGGTGGGAGGAAAAAGTCTAAAAGATGTAGGCAAGGGACTGGCCGCGATCTGGGATCAGTTGACAGGGCTGCGAGAGACAGATGTAAGATTCTTATGTCTTATTTATTAATTTATCCTTCTTTCTTTTTTGTTTATAACTTTTTTGTTTCTTAATTCCTAATTTTTTTTTTTTACAGTTCATTTGGATGCCCTATCAACAGTACCTGCAAGATGGTACTCTCCCGGGTGAGTGCACAGAAGGTCCACAATTTTGGATGTACCAAGGGTGGATCTTCTGTTGGAGCACACGTGAGCTACACTTGCCTGATAGAGTACTCCGACAATTTGGGTGTCACCAGTCCATCCCCCAAGATCCGATTATTACGTGTGAGCAAGACTGGGCCAGACACCACGCCGGCCAAGGAATGACTGGGAGGGCATTCCTTGATTGGGCTGACTATCATTCACCGCTCACCTTGACCTGGGAAGAAAGAGAACAAAATCTCCTCCCACTTGCCCCTGTGTATGACTTCCTGCAGCCAGACCAGGGTTACATTGATTGGTTTCACAGTAAGACTGTGAGACTACTCATTAACCCTGGTAATTACCAGGCGTTCCAACAGGCAGGCGGCTATCAGCCATTTGCCGAGCGGTTAGCGTGCGGGGTAAGTGTATATAATTTGTGGTTTTTTTATTATTATTATTATTATTTTTTGTGTGTTTCATACTAATTACTTTTACTTTTATTTTCAGTCTTCTGGCATGGAGGGCATTTATAACTCGATAGAGAGTGTTCAACACTTGATGCCTACACAACATCCAGAGGTGCAGACCGCATTCCAACAGTCATACAACTTTGCCTATAGTTATCTGACTGTTGGAGGCCAACCTATTACACAAACGGCGCAGTCAAGTCAAATTCTATCCCAAGACAAGTACGTTCCATCCCAGAGGACACAGTCCCACGTCGCGAGGCATCGACCAGCCCCCAACATTGGTGGGGGTAGAAGATCTCGCCCCCCTCCAACCAATCAACCGTCCCCAGAGCCTGAAGAACCTGAGAATCCCGAGCCTGAACAACGTGAGATTTATTTACTTAACAGAAAGATAATTTTTTTTTACTTTTATTTTTTACTTTTTAATTTTTCTGAAGTCCAATTTGTGATTTTTTTACTAAATTAATTACACAGGTGAAGAAGACTCAGATGATGAAGAAGACTCAAATGAAGAGAATGAGTCGGATCCCGAAGATCTCACACAGACCCTTACACCTTCGTCTTCTTCACGGCCAAAGGTTCGGAAGGGGTTCCGAGTGCGCAAACCTAGGGATCCCTTTACTCCTTCGTAGTTAGTTTGTGTTAGTTTATGTTTGAATGAAAAACGGATTGTTTTGTATGTATAAACTTTATTTTGACCTTTTTGGTATGTAGTGTTTTTTTAATACATTATTGCGGTTCATCGTTTTTTATATTATGTTGGATTATTATTTGGTGAATTGATTGGTTCGATTGGTATTAGTTGGTTGAGCAGGTTTATTTGGTTGTGATTGGTTGAACAAGTTTATTTCGTTTGATATATTGAACAAGTTCCGGTTTATTTCGTTTAAAAAATAAATCCCATTTTTTTTTTCCTACAGATTAAAACGTAATTCCAGAATACATTTTTTATTATATTTTATTTTGAAACCGTATTCCTGGAATACGGTTTATATTCAAATTGAATTAGGGCAAAATTGAATTTAGGGCAAAATTGATTTCCAACACAAACGTATTATCCAAATACGTTTTGTTTTATTTTAGTCTAAAACCGTGTTCCTGGAATACGGTTTATATTCAAATTGAATTAGGGCAAAATTGAACTTCGGGGAAAATTGATTTTTTCAACGCAAACGTATTATCCAAATACGTTTTGGATTTATTTTACTCTAAAACCGTATTCCGGGAATACGTTTCATTTTCAAATTGAATTAGGGCAAAATTTAATTTAGGGAAAAATTGATTTTTCAACGCAAACGTATTATTAAAATACGTTTTATTATTGAAAATATTGTTTCCCGAAAATTTTTTATTTTTAAAAATTATAAAATTATTTTTATTTTAAAAACGCATTTACAGAATTCGTTTTATAATTAAAAAATTTATTTAATTTTTTTTATTATAAAACGTATTCATATTATACGGTTTATAGTAAAACGTATTTCGGTTTTTCGTTTTTACTTAACTTAATTATGTTAATTAAGTTTTTTTTCATGATACGTATTATAATAATACGTTTTTGGGCTGTCAACGTATTCTAGGAATACGTTTTATAATTAAAAGCATTTGAAAACGTATTTCCGGAATACGTTTTATAATTAAAAGCATTTGAAAACGTATTTCCGGAATACGTGGTTTTGATTTTTTTCCACTCCTTTTTTTTTGTTTTCGTTTTTGTCCACTTGTTTTTTTTTTTTTATTTTTAAAGAAATAAAAAATTCCATACGTGTGGGCCCGTCGAATTTATGAGCATAAATCCTTCACCGCGGCCCGCGACGGTATTCCTGCGGCCGCGGTGACCAAAAAAATTTTTAGCGCACAGTTTTTGGTTGCCGCTGCCGCGAAGATCACGAGATTCCGAACCTCTGCGACAGAGAAGAAAAGTCGCGGCCGCGGGAGAAGGATTTCTTTCTTTCTTTTCTTGTGATTGAATATCCGTACAATTTAATCTGGCCAACCTTCTTTGAGAGACGACACTGTGTTTGAATCCTTTGATTTAACTCCGGTAAAAATACTTACAACATGTATGTTGAAGAAAAAAATAAATTCTTTTGCATAAAATAACCTACCTGATGGTAGCTAATCCAGACTTCTTCAAAATGACATAAGTCATAAGCTATAAGTTATAAGCTAAAAAATTACTAATAAGCTATATTATCGACTAGTTTTAGCAAATATAGCATATGGAAGGTCACTGTCAAATGAAAATTAGTGAAGGTGACTCTTGAGAGAGAGAGAGAGAGAGAGTCTCTAGAAGTTGGAAAGAAAATTAGAAAGCCAGGGGTAGGGGACATAAATGGCGAAAACAAAGGAATTCAGTCTAGGTGCATTAGAAGAACATGGAAAGTCAAAGTCTAATGAAAATTAGTGAACGTGACATTTGGATTATTTTTGTGCTTATAAAAATGAGAGAGCAACAACATAATCTTGATATTGCTAGTCATGATTCTTTCTTTTTTTCTTTTTCTTTTTTGCTTTTTGACCATTTTCATAATTCTACACAACATAGCCTACAGAATTTCTAACCCCAAAAATTTCAAGTTCACCTTGAAAGCCATTATAAACAAGCAAAACACTAAGGTTCTTTATGTGGAGGCAGATAGCAATTTTACAGATGTTTTGTTGAGCTTCCTGACTTTGCCATTGGGGACTATCGTCAGAGTCTTGAATAAACACTATGGTTATGAGGCCCCTGTTTTAGGAAGCCTAACAACTTTGTACAACGGAATACGCGATTTGGACAATGGCCTTTTCTTGTCAGAGGATTGTAAGAACCTGCTGCTCAACCCGATAAGGTCGTCCGAAGACGAATTTCGTCGGTTGAAAATCAATGTTGACGACACGCCGCCCACAAGGTACTTCAGATGTGGAGGTGGAGGCACAATGTGTTTTAGTATATTTCCGAACGTAAGCATGTACTTTAGTGGATTGAAATGTAATTGCGGAAGACCGCTGGACAAAAAAATTTACGTGAGAGGTGTGGATGATAGTAGCGGCGGTGTGTTTATTGCAAGTAAAGCATCCTTAATCATTACTGATGATCTTCAAATATTGCCTAGCGCGACGAATACTGTTGTGCAAATTCTCCGCAACTCAGGTATTACAGATGCAACCGGGATCAAGGAAAGGAGTGTGACTTTAGGATTCAATGAGGTGAGTGACTAATTTCCATCTCTTTAGATAATAGTATCAAACTTATGAGTCTTCTTCTTCTGCTGTATAATTAACTATGTTTTTTTCTTTCTAGATAATGAATTTGTTGAAGGGGTCATTAGTTTCTCGGGCACCATTCACGGAACTTATTCTAAAAAAGAACTCGATGAAACATGTTGCGACGAATTACAGAATAGGTGTCCCACCGGTTGATCTGAACAAAAAACTGATGGAACCTTTCAGTGATAAGAAAATGACTATGAAAGCCATTGTATTGGCTAATAAGCTACTGTTTGCTGAAGTTGATGGTGATTTTGTGGATTTCCTATTTAGCCTGCTGGCTCTCCCCTTAGGAAGGGTCGAGTGGCTATTGGGCTGTGACACACGTCTTTCAAATGCAGACAAATTGTACAGAAGTGTAGCGAATGGGAGAAACGATAAGTACTTGAAGAACAAATACGTAACGAAAGCCCAGCTACTGAAGCCTAAGGTGCCATTATGTTACTATTCGAGAACACACTCTCTCTCACCGACTGAAGTATATTTTCCAGATTTGTATTATTTTTATGATAATGGTGGCTGTCTGTCACCTTTGCCCTCGTTGCACCTATTTTCTGGTCGCTATGTGTCTTCTTATAAGTTTCCGGAAGGCCAGGTGACCAAACGTAATGGCCAATGGGTGTCTAATTCTACATTTGCAGAAGGGAAAGCAAAATATGTAAACGGAACAACTATGTATATGGTGACCGACGATTTAACTGTGACTCCCTTGTCTTCCACATCCGGCCTTTCAGTTCTCAATAGCCTCAAAATCCCGTTGTCAGAAGTCAAGGAACTTGAGCTGGTTGTTGGTTTGAAAGAGGTTAGTGCGAGTAACATTTGACTCTGAATATGATCTTTATTCTGATTTATACTGATAATCGATTCGTTTTTGCTTTTCGGTGCAGGCACTGAGCATACTGAAAGCATCTCTGACTTCGTCTCGCGCCTTAACAGATGGCCTCATCACTCCATTTTTAATGATGAAAAAGCCGAAGCAAGAGGGCTGAAGATATATGTGACCCGAGCTGGTGGTCGTGCAATAGTTTTCATGGCTAGTCTTACATTTTTGTAATTTCATATTGCGGTTTCATCTCACAATTTTCAAGAAACTCTCAGCGAATATATGAAATTACCTATTTTGATGTTATCTACTCGTATGAAGGAACTGGGATTCGACGGCTATCGATAATGGTAGTGGCTTCGAATCGTAAACGACGACACATAGTATAAAATGATAAATTTCGAAACTGATTATATATAAAGCTAATACAGACTGAAGCGCTACTCAACTGCAGCCATTTTCAAATGTTAAGATTTGATAGCGACTGCTTTTTCTGAGAGATCTGGAAGAATATATTTATGCTCAGCTGAGAACTGAATATGTTTAGACTGTGAAACGTTACTATGCATGCACTTACAAGGTTGGTTGACCTGGCGGTTTTTACTGTAAATACAACTAGTGCGTGCCCCGTGCGATGCACGAGCTGTATAAATTTGGAGAATAAAATAATTTGACATGTATTGAGATCGAAATAATATAATACACATGAACACTATTGAATCAT